CATTGATTAATATCTAAAATCTCAGCATTCCTTGAAATTAATATGTATACAGGCAATAATCATTATTATTATTATTTTATTTAAAAAATAAATATCATCTTTAATAATATTTTTTATTTTTCTTATTTAATCTAAAAAATTAAATATTATATTTAATAATATTTTTTATTAAATATTTAAAGTCTGATTGTTTTTATTTTTTATTTCTTGATTTAATGATAATATATTTATACAGGCAATGTGCAACGGTCGTCACCCGTATCATATTGACGGAATTCATGGCGAGATGCCAAATTGGATGAGCTACAGGGGAGAAGGATGCTCATTGACATTCCATATACCTCCAGTCTTCCAAGGCTTAGTTCTTTGGTTTGTCCATCCACTTGAGAAGGGTGATCGTTATGACTTCAACACTGACATTATTATGATTATAAGAAATAAAAAGAACGGTATTCAATTGTTTGAATGTAAGCAATGGTATCCACCAGCAACCGAGGGATGGATAAGATACATAAGTAGAAGTGAAATGGCAATGGAAGATTACCGTGGAGATGACGACCTGGAACTATACTTTTCATCAGAGCGAGCAGAGCATGCGGTGCGCAACGGTTGGCCAGTCGAACCCGTACACATTAAAGAATGTGGGGTCCATGTGATCGCAGGGAAGTCAGACTCATTTAAAAAGTCAGAAGTGAAAAGAGATGCAGTGATGCCTTCACCACCACCATATCATCTGCTTCCTCATCCCCATTGTGGTTCAATTACAGCGTCTACACCTAAGCAATGGAGTGACTATTTATTTGCGAAGCTGCAAGGACATAGCCTCGATTTAATTTATTTTCGAAGCTGCATAAATATGACCTCTGTTTAAAGCTTTGTGGTAAGAATACGTATTTCATTTAGTTATTTTTATTATATTCTATTTAATTTATGATATTAAATATTATCTTTAATTATTTCATTATTATTATTCAATATAAAAAATTAAATATCATTTTTAATAAAAAAATATTAAATATTTAAGGCTTTTTGGTAAGAATGCATATTTCCTTTAGTTATTTCTATTTTATTCTATTTAATTTAAGAGATTAAATTTTATCTGTAATTATTTTATTTTTCTTATTTAGTCTAAAAAAATTAAGTATTATCTTTAACAAAAATGAAAATGATGTGATATTAATCTTTTTTTTTAATTATAAAGTAAGTTTCTTAATTAAAAGTGAAATGGGATTTGTTTGTAATAACAAAATGCATATACAATCATGCATGTTTAACTTTCTTTCCGAACTTGAAAGTTATATTGAATTTGATGGTTTTTCAGCGGAGAGAATGGCTTAAATGGATGTGAGAGCACAAGATCATTTCACGGAGAGATGTTTAAAGTTACTCCAAAACAATATGGTATTTTTGTGTGATGAGTTGATATGTATTTGAAGTTCATTTTCCAAACTTGGAAGTTCCATCGGATGTTCTTTGAAATCTTTTTCATTCTATTTGAAATTGGACAACCTAGTTGTTATTATCTATAACTAAAAGTAACTATAATTACAATATTTTAAAAAAATTTTATAAAAAACCTGTTTGTTAAATTAAAAAGCACTTGCTAATCATAAAAAAAATAAAATTGAATTGGTTTCATTTAAAACTCACAGTACAGTATATTCATCTAACAGTCCAGTATATTATAAAAATCTGATCGGGTCAAGCTACGAGCAATGAGGAGGCATGACCATCCCCCACATGTAGCTTTGCAATATAATCCGGGACTTGCTAAAAATATATTACAGTTGTCAAAATTAATTATTGTTAGCAAAAATTTATTTTATTTGTGAATCTCTCAATATAATCGGGTCACCTCTCTGTTTTTAAATAACTAAAATCTAAATCACTTACATTCAACCCCGTACAAGTTAAAGAATGTGGGGTCCATGTGATCACAGGGAAGACAGATTCATTTAAAGAGTCGGCAGTGGGAAAAGATACAGTGATGCCCTCACCACCGCTGTATCATGTGCTTCCTCATCCCTATTATGGTTCAATTACAGCGTCTATATCAAAGTAATGGAGGGACTGTATATTTGCGAAGCTGCAAGAACATAGCCTCAATTTAAAAGTTGAGGGTAAGAACAAATATTTCCTTTAGTTATTTCTATTTTATTCTATTTAATTTATGAGATTAAATATTATCTTTAATTATTTTATTATTACTATTATTTAATATAAAAAATTAAATATCATTTTTAATAAAAAAATATTAAATATTTAAGGCTTTTTGGTAAGAATGCATATTTCCTTTAGTTATTTCTATTTTATTCTATTTAATTTAAGAGATTAAATTTTATCTTTAATTATTTTATTTTTCTTATTTAGTCTAAAAAAATTAAGTATTATCTTCAACAAAAATGAAAATGATGTGATATTAATCTTTTTTTTTAATTATAAAGTAAGTTTCTTAATTAAAAGTGAAATGGGATTTGTTTGTAATAACAAAATGCATATACAATCATGCATGTTTAACTTTCTTTCCGAACTTGAAAGTTATATTGAATTTGATGGTTTTTCAGCGGAGAGAATGGCTTAAATGGATGTGAGAGCACAAGATCATTTCACGGAGAGATGTTTAAAGTTACTCCAAAACAATATGGTATTTTTGTGTGATTGGTTGATATGTATTTGAAGTTCATTTCCCAAACTTGGAAGTTCCATCGGATGTTCTTTGAAATCTTTTTCATTCTATTTGAAATTGGACAACCTAGTTGTTATTATCTATAACTAAAAGTAACTATAATTACAATATTTTAAATAAATTATAAAAAACCTGTTTGTTAAATTAAAAAGCACTTGCTAATCATAAAAAAAATAAAATTGAATTGGTTTCATTTAAAACTCACAGTACAGTATATTCATCTAACGGTCCAGCATATTATAAAAATCTGATCGGGTCAAGCTACGAGCAATGAGGAGGCATGACCATCCCCCACATGTAGCTTTGCAATATAATCCGGGACTTGCTAAAAATATATTACAGTTGTCAAAATTAATTATTGTTAGCAAAAATTTATTTTATTTGTGAATCTCTCAATATAATCGGGTCACCTCTCTGTTTTTAAATAACTAAAATCTAAATCACTTACATTCAACCCCGTACAAGTTAAAGAATGTGGGGTCCATGTGATCACAGGGAAGACAGATTCATTTAAAGAGTCGGCAGTGGGAAAAGATACAGTGATGCCCTCACCACCGCTGTATCATGTGCTTCCTCATCCCTATTATGGTTTCGTCTACACCAAAGTAATGGCTGGACTATATATTTGCGAAGCTGCAAGAACATAGCCTCGATTTAAGAACAAATATTTTCTTTAGTTATTTCTATTTTATTCTATTTAATTTATGAGATTAAATATTATCTTTAATTAGTTTATTATTATTATTATTTAATATAAAAAATTAAATATCGTCTTTAATAAAAAATATTAAAGGATTTTTGATAAGAATACATATTTCCTTTAGTTATTTCTATTTAATTTAAGAGATTAATTATCATCTTTAATTGTTACATTTTTATTATTTAATCTAAAAAATTAAATATTATCTTTAACAATATTTTTTTATTAAATATTTAGAATATGCTTGGTTTTATTTGTTTTCTTGGTTTTATGATAATATTTTTCTTATTTAATATAAAAAATAATTATTATCTTTAATAATTAGATATATGGAATATCACTTAAAAAATAAATTATAACTTTAATAATTATTTTTTGAAAAAAAAAAGGCCAATAATCACTAACATATTTTATTAAAATCACTTTAGTTTATTTAGGAAATATCAAAAATTGATTTTTTTACATTAAAATAAAAAAATTGAATAATGTTTTTATATTTTATTTCAAACTTGATATTAAAATAATGTGAATTTGTTCTTGATAACAAAATGCATATACAATCACGCACATTTAACTTTCTTTTCAAATTTGAAAGTTTCTATTGAATTTAATGGTTTTTTTAGAGTAAAAAAACTTGGATTGATGTAAGAGTATAAGATCATTTTACACACAGATATTTGGAGAAAATATCAAAAATTGATTTTTTTACATTAAAATAAAAAAATTGAATAATGTTTTTATATTTTATTTCAAACTTGATATTAAAATAATGCGAATTTGTTCTTGATAACAAAATGCATGTACAATCACGCACATTTAACTTTCTTTTCAAATTTGAAAGTTTCTATTGAATTTAATGGTTTTTTTAGAGTAAAAAAACTTGGATTGATGTAAGAGTATAAGATCATTTTACACACAGATATTTGGAGAAAATATCAAAAATTGATTTTTTTACATTAAAATAAAAAAATTGAATAATGTTTTTATATTTTATTTCAAACTTGATATTAAAATAATGCGAATTTGTTCTTGATAACAAAATGCATGTACAATCACGCACATTTAACTTTCTTTTCAAATTTGAAAGTTTCTATTGAATTTAATGGTTTTTTAGAGTAAAAAAACTTGGATTGATGTAAGAGTATAAGATCATTTTACACACAGATACTTGAAGTTGCTCCAAATCAGTATGATACTTCCATCTAACATGTTGATATATATTTGCTGGCTTGAAGATCATTTTTCATGCTTGGAAGTTTTATTGAATGCTCTTTCAAATCTTTTTCATTAGCTTGTATATTGGACAACCTAGTTGTTAATTATTATCCATGATGTAATTTATATTTTCAAGTTACAAATTTTGATGAATATTATTTCATTTTTTTCCTCACCTCACTTCAAAAGATGAAAATCCTTGGTGTTAGTTAGAAATAAATTGGTTTTTTAGGAAGAGATTATTGATCGAGATATAGTATTTGAGTTGGTTCTTCATCATTTAATGCTATAATTGAAAATAATTAATGAAAAGTATCAATACACAAGAAAGTTCTGAGAGATGAAAAGTATCAATACACAAGAAAGTTCTCTTATTGCATGGTTTTTATTATTTTTTTTTTCCTATCTTCTTTTCTATATACAACTTTTATTTTTCTTGCCAGTTTGTCATTAGCTTCAAGACACCAACACCAATTAATAATAAATTTGGGATTATTATTAAATAAAAAAATAAACATTATTAAAACACCAAACCTGCATTGCTCAAACCTAAAGAAACCCTATAACAATGATCTAATTTAAAAAAAATTAATTTAACATTGTAGTTTTAGAAAATAGTATTTAATCCTTATGTTTTCATATTCATCTATCTATGATTTAATGTGGTGATTGAAATTGACAAATGAGTTTACTCCTTTTAATCCTTATGTTTTTATATTCATCTATTTATGAATTAATGTGGTGATTGAAATTAACAAATGAGTTTACTCCCATATTGTTATATTGATTTTAAGTTCAAATAAAGGTTTAAAAAGGGAGTTTTTCATGAATACAACCCTTCATGTATTCAATAGGAATAATGGGAGATTTTAATGTCCTGTGAATGCATTTATTTATATACAATGATGGGATGATTTTGCTAAGAATGATTTTGCTAAGAATTGGTTGGTAAAAAACTTAATTTTGTTATATAAAAATTGAAGAGAGAACAATAAATAGCTAAGAATTGATATGCAAAAAAATAACTTGTGGGTAAATCTCTAAGGTGATTGAAATGAAGATTAAAATAAAGGAAAAAAAGAGAGACTCGTAAAGATTTTATGTTAGTGCTCAACATGTTCTTTCTTGTTTTTTGTTTTAATTGGATTACCCTTGTCTTTCATGCCAAGTAAAATTCTGGTATATAACATTAAATTAAAAAAAAAGAAGTGAATTAAAGGTCTAACTAAATGAAATACAAGTAGAAAGACTACATCAACTGCATTCGATATACTCAACTCTCAGCAAATTGAAATTTCAAGGCTATTCGTATCTTGAAAACACAATCTCAATAATCTTAATGTGAGGAGTGATTTCTTTTCTATTATTTTTTTTCTTTGGATCGAAAGGGTCTTATGAATTATTATTTGTCAGGTAACTAAGATTTGTTGATGAGGAAAATAGCACTAAGTTTTTGGAATGACAATGGGTGAGAAGCAAAAGCAGCAGCAATCCATCAGGATCATCACCATCCTATCGCTTTGCCGTACTGTTTATCTTCTTGGCATTGTTCAAAGGAACGCAAAAAGACATTCCAAGTGTGAAAGTGTATTATTGTCCTAAAGTTTTTCAAACTTCCAATATAGAGAGTGAAATAGAGAGCAAGAGCAAAAGGAAACAGCCCCCATCTTTCTTGTTCCCTTTCGCTTCTTTACATGGCTTACTCAATGAAAAAGCAAACACCCCATTAGAATTTCATTCAGAATGAGAGTGAGAAAGAGAGAGGCCAAGGGGGGCATTGAATATTTTGTTCTTTTTTGTCTCGCTCACTGGGGCAAACCATCTTTTTCAAAATTTTGAATAGCATGCCATCAAAAAGAACTTTGTTCAATCCCAATCCCACATTGTCTGTAGAAGCATTTACTTTTGACTGTACACTTTG